CACTTATAAATGGATTTTTTTCAATAGTAAATACTACAGTACTACATGATGTGAAGCTGGTTTGATTTGCAGATGCATAACCATATATGTGGAGGAACTGCCTATGTACAGAGGACTGACTATAAGTTATACTCAGGTTTTTGATTGCTTGAAAAGTCAGCACCACTAATCCCTGTGTTGTTTAAGGGTCAACTGTACCACACCTTTATGGTAAGTCTTGAAATCTGGTAATCCAATTCCATAGACTGTATTTTTTTTTCAGAAGTGTATTATCTATTCTGGTACCTTTGTCTTTCCACATATATCTTAGAATCAGTTTGTCAATTATCTATAAAATAGTCTGCTGTGATTTTGAGTGGGATTGCATTGAATCCATATATCATATTGAGAATTCCAGTCCATGATCGTGAAATGTCTTTCCAATTATTTATGTTCTTTTCTTTCATCAATGTTTTGTAGTTTTTGCACACAGATTCTGCATATATATATATGTGTGTGTGTGTATATACACAGACATATATATGTGTTTTTGGAATTGCTTTCTTAATTTCAAATTCCAACTGTAAGTTGCTATTATATAGGAAAGCAACTGACTTTTGTATATTGACCTTGCATCATGCAACCTTATTAAACCTGTTTATTTTCATAAGTTTTTTGGTAGATTCTTTTGAGATGTCTACATAGATAATCTTATCATTTGTGGGGAAAATGGTCATTTGTTTCTTTCCAATCTGTATGTCTTTTATTTTTCTTGCTTTATTGCACCAGTTCAGATTTCCAGAACAATGCTGAATAGGACTGATGAGAAAAGGAGACCATTTTGTTCTTGACCTTAGGGCGAAAGCATTCAGTCTCTTGACATTAAATATGATGTGCATTGTATGTTCTTCATATATACCCTTTAAAGTTAATAAAGTCCCCTTCTATTCTTAATTTTTGACAGCTTTTATAATATATGGCTACTGAATTTTGTTAAATCATTCTTATGAACCTAATGAGATGATCATATAGTGTTTCTTAGTCTGTTCATCTGTTGAATTACATTGATTTTTTAATTTTGAAAGAGCCCTGTATTCCTGGGATAAACCCTACCTGGTCTTGATGTACTATCTTATTTATGTATTGTTAGATTCAGTTTGTTAATATTCTGGCAAGAGTTTTTATGTCTATGTTCATGAAATACTTGTCTGTAGATTTACTATATTTGTCATATTTGGTATTAGGGTAATGATGATCTCATAAAATAGGTTGGGAAGTGTTCCTTCCTCTTCTATTTACTGGGAGAGAATTGTAGAATTGGTAATATTTATTTCTTGAATATCTGCTAGAATTCATGAGTAAGATTTTGTAGTTTACGTCTGTCTTGGCTCAGGCTGCCATAACAAAATACCATGGTGTATCTTTTTCCTTTATAAGGATACCAGTTGCTTACCACAAATTTTGATAAGCTGTATATTCATTTTCATTTAGTTCAAAATATTTTTAACTTTCCTTAAGAATTCTTTTACTTGTACATTTTTAGAAGTGTATAGCTTAATCTCCAAATATTTGGACTCTTCTACCTTTCTATTATTGATTTCTAGTTGGTTCCATTATGGCCAATGTACACACTCTATATGTTTTTAGAGTCTTTAAATTTTTTGAGCTTTGTTTTATGGCCCAGAATGTGATCTACCTAGGTGAATGTCTCATTGAAACTTCAGAACAATGTGTACTTTGCTGTTGTTGGATGAATTGTCCTATAAATGTCAATTGGGTCAAATTGGTTGATAGTTGATAGATATTGTTAACTGGGAAAGAGGTATTAACGCCTTTCTACTTGTATCTCTATCAGTTTTTGCTTCATGTATTTTGATGGTTTGTTGTTAGGTGCTACATTTTTAGGATTGTTACATGTTCTCTTGGAGAACTGACCCATTTATCATTATGTAATGTGCCTCTTTATCCATTATAATCTTTCTTGTTCTGAAGACTGCTTTGTCTGAAATTAACATAACTACTGTTGTTTTGATCAGCATTTTCATGGTCTATCTCAATCCCTTAATTTTAAATTTAAAAACATTTTAAGTAGACTTTATTTTTTAAGAGCAGTTTTAGGTTCACAACAAAGCTGAGCCAAAGGTGCAAGAATTCCATATATCCCATGTTCCTACACCATTCCTTAACTTTTATCCTATTTGAATCTTTATATTTAAAGTGCATTTCTTGAAGACAACATATAGTTGTATCTTTTTTTTTGATCCAATATGATTGCCTTTGTTTTTTGACTGGTGTGATTAGGCCATTTATATTTGAAGTAATTATTGGAGTAGTTGACTTTAAATCTACCTTCTTGCTCTTTTCCATTTGTTGTATTTACTCCTTGTTTTCCTGTATTTTTTTCTCTCTTTCTACATTCTTGGATTTTTCATTGATATTTCTTATGATTCCATTTTATCTCATTTCTTGACTTATTATTCATACTATTTAAAAAAACTTTTTAGTAATTTTCCTAATGTTTATGATGTACATTTCAAAATAATGTACCTTTAGATAACTGTAAAAGTGTCATCCAATGAAGCTGCACTATTTTGCATTCAATCAGCAATGAAAGAGAGCTCCCATTCCTCTGCATCCTTGGTAGAACTTGGTATTGTCAGTTTTTTTTATTGATTTACCTTTAACAGAATATTCCTAATTTCTCCCTCCTATCCTTTGCCACACTGGTGTCTTTTCTTTCACTCTTACATATGGTATAGATACCAAATACATCATCATTATTATTACTTTAAACAGTTAAAATTTAGTGCAATTCAGAAAAATAAAAATTTATATTTTATCTTCATTCCTTTCTAGCACTCTTCCTTTTTTGTGTAGATTCAAGTTTGTGACCTATATCATTTTTTTCCTTCTGAGAGAAGAACGTCCTTTAAAATACTTTGAGTTGTCTGAGCAAGTCTATTTCTTTCTCACTTTTGAAGGATAGCTATATATAGGATCTGAGCCTGGCAATTTTTCTTTTTTTTTTTTTTAATACTTTAAAGTTGTCATTCCATTGTGTTCTTGCTTGCATAGTTCTGATGAGAACTCTGCTGTAATTCTTATCTGTGTTTCTCTATAATTAAAGTGTTTTTCTCCCCTCTGACTGCCTTCAATATTTTCTCTTTGTTTTTGCTCTTTTGCCTAAGTGTGGGGTTTTGTGTGTGGCTTTTAAAAACTTCCCTAAGCTCCTTGGATATGTGGTGTCTGTCACTTATTTTGAAAAGATTTTAGAAATTACTTTTTCAAATATTTCTTCTGCTTAGTTTTCTTTCTTCTCTTTCTGGTATTCCATTCATGTATATGTTATAACTTTTGATATTGTTCCACATTTCCTGAATACTCTGGTATTTTTTTTTGTTTCCACTCTCATTTTCTCTTTGTATTTCAGTTTAGGTAATTTCTACTGACCTATTTTTACATTCACTCATTCTACCCTTGGATGGGACAAGTTTAAAAATGAACCCATCAAAATGATTCTTCATTTATGTTACTGTGATTTTGATTTCCTTTTGATTATTTCTTATGTTTTCCATCACTCTGATCACATTATACATCTGGTCTTTTTTTCTCTGTTTCCATTAGAATCCTTAACATATTAATCATAGTTAAGTTTCCTGATTGCTAATTTCAACACCTGTGTCATATGTGTCTGGTTCTGACAGTGCTTTATCTCTCAAGTTATTTCCTGCCTTTTAGTACATTTGTAATTTTGTTCTTGTTGTTGAAAGATAGACATGTATAAAGCAGTTGATACTGAAGTAAGCAGGACTTTAGAGTGACTATATCAATCTGCCCAAAGGTTGGGCTGTGTCTGATGTTTGTTGTCTCTATGAGTACCAGAGGCATTAAATTCCTCCAGTGATCTTGTTTTTGTATTCCTTCTTGGCCTTGGCCTTTCGTTTTGTGCTGTACCTCAAAGAGTCTGTCTTTTGAAGCTCTCCCAGCTGTAATCCACTGCTACTTCAGTAGCTGGTTGCAGTTTGTGAGGGAGGAGGAAATTCTCTAATCTTTGGATTAAGTCTAAGCCTTTGGAGTGCACAGTGGTTCTGTGTCTTGAGAGTGTGGCCTTCATAATTGTTTTTGTTCCTTTCCAGGCTGTTGTGAGTTGAACTGTATTCCCCAAAAGATATGTTGAAGTCCTAAACTCTAGTACCTGTGAATAAGACCTTATTTGGAAATAAGAAGATAATCTAGATAAGACGAGGATATAACACATTAAGGTGGGCTCTAAATGCAACAAATGGTGACCTTATAAGGAGAGAAATAGATTTGAAGACACAAAGGAGACACAGGGAAGAAGGCCATGTGATCATGCAGACAGAGAATGGAGTGATGTTACCACAAGCCAAAGAGTATCAAGGGTTGTTGGTAATCACCATAATCCAGAAGAAACAAAGAGGAGTTCTTGCCTAGAGCCCTCAGAGAGAACATGGCCCTGCCAATATCTTGATTTCAAACTTCCTGCCTCCAGAACTGTGATAAAATTAATTTGTGCTGTTTTATGCCAATTAGGTTATGGTAATTTGTTATGGCAGTGCTAGGAAACTAATATACAGGGGTAAAGCTTTTTAGCCTTCTGCCATCTAATACATTCCCTGGCTATAGAATTTCCAGTGTATGTGTTTGAAACCCTCTCCCCTATATATTGAGGCTTTCTTTTCTTTCTTTTTTCCTTAGATGAGACAGGGAGACAGAGTGGGGCTAGAGCAGGGCAGTGTCCCTTTCCCCTAGCTAGGATGAGATTTTACTGTTATCCCATATTATTTTTGTCTTTCTGGCAACCTGTAGGGTAATCATGGAACTAAATGTTTAGAGGTCTTCACAACTCCATGGAAAGTATTTTCAGTCCACATGAAATGTATCTGTCATTGCTCAAGTACGTAATTATACTTAACACTAGTAAACTGTACATTTAAAAATGGTTTATGTTACTTTTTTATCACAATGAAAAACAAAGTATCTTTCTCTACATATCTTACCAAAATGATCTGTATGTTGCCGCCAAACACAATTGAGAGACTTGGAGGCTGTATGGTGCCAGTGGATGGCTAATGGAAATAAGCTTTTGAAGTTGAGCTGTTGAAGGGCCCAACATGTGACTCTTCCCCTCAGCAGGTCCTGGAGCCTGATTTGTAGGTGGGACAACCTGTGGCACCACATCCTAGAAAATCTGACAATAAGAAGAGTTAGTAACAATAAAAAATAACTTTTTATAAGGCTATAGGAATGACACTACAGATGTAACTATATAAAAGAACAGATTTTATTATCTCAACCAGAGTATTAAAAAAACAAAGAAGAAATTCCTAAGAGCTAAGCATAAGTGGTCAATAACCATTAATTATATTTTCTCACCAGCCACTGTTATATTGTGCATTGTGATCTTGCTTCAACCCCACTATCTAACTGAAGTGGTTCTTTAAAAATTCACTAATTTTAACCTTCCAATCATATAAAAGGATTGCTTTTCAGCTCTTGTCCTTCTGATACTCTCCACTTGTGAGAGTATTGATACTGGTGCAAAAACAGACACAAAGATCCATGGAACAGAACAGAGAGCCCAGAAATAATCCCACACTTATAAAGGTGATTAATCTATGACAAAGAAGGCAAAAATATGCAGTGGGGAAGTGATATCCTCTTCAATAAATGGTGTTAGGTTACCTGGACAACTACATGCAAATGAATCAAAGTAGACCACTTTCTCACACCATTCACAAAAATAAACTAAAAATGGATTAAAGACTTAAATGTAAGACCTGAAACCACAAACCTTCTAGAAGAAAACATAGGCGGTATGCTCTTTGACACTGGTCTTAGTAATATCTGGGGGGCATGTCTCCTTAGGCAAGGGAAACAAAAACAAAAATAAACAAATGGGGTTACATCAAACTAAAAAGCTTTTGCACAGTGAAGAAAACGAAAATACCATCTTTTGAATGGGAGAAAGTATTTGTAAATGATATATCTCATAAGAGGTTAATATTCAAAATATACAGAGAATTCATACAATTCAACATCAAGAACCAAATAACCTAATTAAAAATGGGCAGAGGACCTGAATAGATATTTTTCCAAAGAAGACATACAGATGACCAACAGGCACATGAAAAGATCTCAGCATCACTAATGATCAAGGAAATGCAAATCAAAACCACAATGAGATATTACTTCACACCTGTCAGAATGGCTATTATCCAAAAGATTACAAATAACAAATGTTGGTGAGGACATGGAGAAAAGGGAATCCTCATGCACTGTTAGTGGGAATGCAAATTAGTACTGTCAGTCTTCTGGATTTAGCCATTCTAATAGGCATGCAGTGATATCTTTTTGTTTTAATTTGCATTTTACTAATTATGACTGATGTGCATCTCTTCATATTCTTAATTGCCATCTATATATCTTCTTTGGTCAAGTGTCTGTTCAGGCCTTTTGCCCACTGAACATTTTTTTTTAAATTAAGACTTTTTTTGGAGCAAGTTTAAGTTCACAGAAAAATTGAGAGAAAGATACAGAGGTTTCCCATTTACCTCCAGCCTCAACACATGCATAACCTCCACCATTATCAACATCCTCCATCATAGAGTGGTATATTTGTTACTAGTGATGAACCTACACTGACATATCATTATCACCCCAAATCCACAGTTCACATTAGGGTTTACTTTGAGTATTCTACATTTCATGTGTTTGGGCAAATGTATAATGACATATATCCATTATAGTAGTATCATACAGAGTATGGTGGAAGTAGGGATGAATATGTAATATTTTCATTTTTTGGTCAGTTCAAAATTGTTTTGGTTATTTTAAGGAGTGTGCCTTTTTACTTAAATTTTAGAATAATCTTTTTGTATCTACAGAAACATCTTGCTGAGATTTTGGTAGCAATTGCATTAAAACTATAGATCAATTTGGGAGAGAACTGACATAGTTACTATGTTGAGTCTTCCAATTTATGAACATGATTTGCCTCTCCAGGTACTTAAGCCTCCTTTCATTTCTTTCATCAGCATTTTATAATTTTCATCATACATACTTTGTTAGAGTTATACATAAGTAAATTTATTTGAAGTAATTACAGATAGGCATTTTTCATTTCGATTTCTGCATGTTCATTGTAAGTATACAGAAATGTAATTGATTTTTGTGTGTTGCTCTTGTATCCTGTAACATTACTGAACTCACTTATGAGCTCTGGGATTCTTATTGTTGATTATTTAAGGTAATCAATGTAGATAATCATGCATCTGCAAATAAAGACAGCTTTATTTCTCCTTTGTAATACGTATGCATTTTATTTCTTTTTCTTGCCTTATTGTAATGACTAGAACTTCCAGAACTGTGTTAAATAAATAAGAGCGGTGAGAGTGGACATCTTTGCCATGTTCCCTATCTTCAGTCTCACCATTATGTATGATGTTAGCTGAAAAGGTGCTCAACATCAAAAATCATCAGGAAAAAGGAGAAATAACTAAAAGAACACCCTATTTTGGAAAGGGGCAAACTATTTTTTGGAAAATAATTGTTCTTTAAAAGAATACCCCAAAGAATACCAAATCCCCTGTCCACTCACAAGTGAAAAAGAGTGTGGTCTCATCCAGACGAATGGTCTTTGGCTGGATACATAAATCTACACATTTCTACTGTTATTATTAAAATTTGCCCTACAGGTTATTTAAAAGTAAACTACTTATTTTAGACAGATTTTCTAGTTTTATTATAATTATTAGTTTCTAACTTCATTTCCTTGTGGCAAAAAAAAAAAACACATCCTCAGTGCAAATGTAATTGCTTACTTTATGGCCCACCATATCATCTATTCTTCTGGGTGCAGAAAAGAATGTGTATTCCATCGTTGTTACATATATTAGTCAATTAGGTCAAGTTTGTTAATATTATTGTTCAACTGTTCTGTATACTTGTTGGTTTTGTTTATCTGATGTTCTATTAGTTACTGAAGGATGTGTGTTAAGATTTCTGATTATGACTTTGAATTTATTTATTGGATATCTGTCAATGTTTGCTTTGTATTTTTTGACTGTTAAGTGCATACAAATTAGAATAATAATTTTATCTTCTTGGTGGGTGTCCTTTATTATAATTAAAAATCTCTATGTTTCTTAAGGAATCCTTTCTTAAAGTCAGTTTTATTTTATATTAACATATTTACATAAGATTTTCGGGGGCTGGTTTTGCATTGTACATGCATTGTCTATTTCTTCCACTCTTATTTTTGTGTCTCTTATAAACAGTAGTTAGATTTTCTTTCTTAACCTAATAATCTGTCATTTAATTGATGTGTTAAGTTAACTTATATTAAATATAATTACTGATATATTGCATTGACATTCAGATCTACTCAGATATTTAACCTCTCCAATGCTCCCATTTTATACCTCCAAGCTTTAATTTGGGATCATTTGACTTCTGTGTAAAGATACTAAATATTTCCTTTGGTGTTTGGTGTAAGATTCTCTAAGTTAGGGACCATAGGGAAACATCTATTTTATTTTTGTTTTGAAGGCTGTTTTTACTGGATGTAGAATTTCATACTGGCAGTTACTTTCTCCAGCATTTTGAAGGTATCATTTCTTTAACATTGTTTCTGTTGAGAATTGAAAGCCAATCTAATTGCTACTTTTTTAGCCACCTGCTGTTAAAATTGTTTCTTTTTCTTTATTTTTCAGCAGTGCTTACTAAAATACATTTAGATGAGGTTTTCTTTGTATTTATTCTGCACTTTTTAAATTTATGACTTGATGCTTGTGATAGACAATTCTAAAATGACTTCCAGTGACTCTTGCCATATTATAATCCCTTCCATTGGAGGGCGAGTGGGACTGTGACTATGATGGATAGGATTTCACTTGAATGATTAAGTTATGTATATGGCACATCTGACTTTAAGAAAGGGAGATAATCTTTGGTTCCCCTGGCCTAATCCAGCGATCTCTTAAAAGGGATGGGCTTTTTCTGGTGAGAGACTTGAAACAGAAGAGGAATTTGCTGTCAAGGAGATTCTCCGTGGGCTTTGAAGATGAAGAGGACTACATGGCAAGTAATGCAGGCAGTGTCTAGTAGCTGAGAGTAACCCACATCTGATATGCAAGAAGGAAACTGTAACCTCAGTCCTACAGCCATGTGGAACTGAATTCAGCCAACAATCCGAATGAGTCTGGGTGTGGATTCTTAGCCAGAGCCTCCAGAAAAGAATACAGCCTAACAAACACCCCGATTTCAGCCTTTAATAAAATGACCAGAGAACCCAGTCATGCCATGCCTTGTCTTCTGACATACAGAACTGTAAGATAATAAATGGGTGTTTGTATGCTTTGTTACTTTTGGAAAAGTCTCAGTCATTATCTCTTCAAATATTGTTTTTGTACCATTCTCTCCCTCCCCTCCTAGGACTTCTATTGCAAATATATCAGACATTTACATGTACTAGGTGCCAGGCACTATTGTAAGTACTGGAAATACATCAGTAAACAAAACAAATATTTCTGTCCTCATGAAGTACCTTCTAATGGCGTCCTAATCTCCCCTACTTAAACTGACTCCTTTAACAGTGCTCTTCCTCATAGTTAATTTGAGTATCATCCAATCAGTTGTAGAACTAGTTCAATGTGAAATCTGTGCTTCAAACTTGATACCTCCTCTTTAAAATTTCTCCCTTGCAGACAATTTTCAAATAATGATAACTTTTACCCCTAAATGATTATCAAACCTGAACCATTGCATTACATCTCTATACACCAGTCCAGGTCCGCCATTATTCCTCACTCAAAAACTGCAAAAGCCACTTAACTGACCTATCCATACACACATTTATCCTCCTTTCAATCCACTTTGCACACTGTAGGAAGAGTGAACTAAAATAATAATATGTCATTCATTGCGAATGGATCCCTAGGGCATTCAGGGTAAAGTCCAATTTCCTTAACATGTTATGTAATGTCTTCCATTATCTGGTCCTGAGCAACCTCTTAGCCTCACTTCCTGCTATTTAGCTCCTTGTGCTTCATTGCTTATAACTTCCCAGACCCACTATACTCTTTCTTCCTTCTGAGAAACTAATGTTCCTGCTCTTGTTCTCTCAAACAGGAAGCCATTCCTACTCTGTCTTTTATTCATCTTTCAAGAATCAGTGGAGAT